ATGTATCACAATTCAGAGGCATCAGTACTTTTAAAAATTTTCCAATAAAGTCTAAAAACCATAGTTTTCTAAGCTATTGAAAAATTTTCTTTCTGTCTCTCCCTCCTTCTCCCCCTCCCTCTCCTTCTCTCGTTCTTTCACTCATCTCCCTTTCTTCCTCCCTCCTTCAAATATAAGTTTGGTGCAAAAGTAATGGCAACACCTGCGACTCCTTTTGCATCAACCTAATAATAGGCTGTTGTGACATGATTATTTCCCCAAGAACACTCCCATTGTCGTTGTGTTAAAGCCATTTAAATCTACAGTGTTCTATTTCCAGACATTTTCTAGGATTATAGGAGGCTTGTTTTCAATATATGTGTTTATAAAATGATGTGAAGCACCATTTGGCTTTACCAGTGGGCCAGCTTGGCTCTGGCCCTTGGTAGAAGCAGAAGATTAGGAATTGAGTGATGAAGCTGAAGAAACTTGGCCAAATGACTTTTCCCATTTCCTCTTCATTGTCATTGATGCCTGTACCCACATATAGGGCCATTTAGAGTACCAAGCCCTCCAGTTCATTCCAGTTCATTCACTGATTAATTTATTCATTAAATAAATAAATGTGGACAGATCTTTTTCACCCTAACAATATTACTGGCCCCATGCTAAGTGTTAAGTATACTCTGATGAATAAGAAAATTCTTCTGCTTTTAAGTGAATGAAGCATAGATACTTAATCGTAACACAAGGTTTTGCATTCTTAAATGGAAATTTTTGAGCACAGTCATTATTATACTTTGTGTTCTGGGGTACATGTGCAGAACATGCAGGTTTGTTACATAAGTATACATGTGCCATGGTGATTTGCTGCACCCATCAACCCCTGTCATCTACATTAGATATTTCTCCTAATGCTATCCCTCCCCCTACCTCCCACCCCCTGACAGGCTCCTGTGTGTGGTGTTCCCTCCCTGTGTCCATGTGTTCTCACTGTCCAAATCGCACTTATGAGAACATGTGGTGTTTGGTTTTCTGTTCTTGTGTTAGTTTGCTGAGAATGATGGTTTCCAGCTTCATCCACATCCCTGCAAAGGACATGAACTCATCCTTTTTTATGGATGCATAGTATTCCATGGTGTATATGTGCCACATTTTCTTTATTCAGTCTATCATTGATGGGCGTTTGGGTTGGTTCCAAGTCTTTGCTATTGTGAACAGAGCCACAATAAACATGCATGTGCATGTGTCTTTATAGTAGAATGGTTTATTAATCCTTTGGGTATATACGCAGTAATGGGATTGCTGGGTCAAATGGTATTTCTAGTTCTAGATCCTTGAGGAATCGCCACACTGTCTTCCACAATGTTTGAACCAATTTACACTCCCACCAACAGTGTAAAAGCATTTCTGTTTCTCCACATCCTCTCCATCATCTGTTGTTTCCTGACTTTTTAATGATCACCATTCTAACTGGCATGAGATGGTATCTCATTGTGTCTTGATTTGCATTTCTCTAATGACCAGTGATGATGAGCTTTTTTTCATAAGTTTGTTGGCTGATAAATGTCTTCTTTTGAGAAGTGTCTGTTCATATCCTTTGCCCACTTTTCGATGGGGTTGTTTTTTTCTTGTAAATTTGTTTAAGTTCTTTGTAGATTCTGGATATTAGCCCTTTGTCAGATGGATAGATTGCAAACATTTTCTCCCATTCTTTAGGTTGCCTGTTCACTCTGACGATAGTTTCATTTGCTGTGCAGAAGCTCTTTAGTTTAATTAGATCCCATTTGTCAATTTTGGCTTTTGGTGTTTTAGTTATGAGGTCTTTGCTCATGTCTATGTCCTGAATGGTACTGCCTAGGTTTTCTTCTAGGGTTTTTATGGTTTTAGGTCTTACATTTAAGTCTTTCATCCATCTTGAGTTAATTTTTGTATAAGGTATAAGGAAGGGATCCAGTTTCAGCTTTCTGCATATGGCTAGCCAGTTTTCCCAACGTTTATTAAATAGGGAAACCTTTCCCTATTGCTTGTTTTTGTCAGATTTGTCAAAGACCAGATAGCTGTAGATGTGTGGTGTTATTTCTGAGGCCTCTGTTCTGTTCCATTGGTCTATATATCTGTTTTGGTGCCAGTACCATGCTGTTTTGGTTACTGTAGCCTTGTAATAAAGTTTGAAGTCAAGTAGCATGATGCCTCCAGCTTTGTTCTTTTTGCTTAGGATTGTACTGGCTATGTGGGCTCCTTTTTTGTTCCATGTGAAATTTAAAGTAGTTTTTTCCAATTCTGTGAAGAAAGTCAATGGTAGTTTGATGGGGATAGCATTGAGTCTGTAAATTACTTTCAGCACCATGGCCATTTTAATGATATTGACTTTTCCTATCCATGAGCATGGGATGTTTTTCCATTTGTTTGTGTCCTCTCTTATTTCCTTGAGTAGAGGTTTGTTGTTCTCCTTGAAGAGGTCCTTCGCATCCCTTGTAAGTTGTTTTCCTAGGTATTTTATTCTCTTTGTAGCAATTGTGAATGGGAGTTTGACAAAATTCAACAGCCCCTTCTGCTAAAAACTCTCAATAAACTAGGTATTCATAGAACGTATCTCAAAATAATAAGAGCTATTTATGACAAACCCACAGCCAATATCATACTGAATGGGCAAAAGCTGGGAACATTCCCTTTGAAAACCGGCACAAGACAAGGATGCCCTCTCTCACCGCTCCTATTCAACATAGTATTAGAAGTTCTGGCCAGGGCAATCAGACAAGAGAAAGAAATAAAGGGTATTGAATTAGGAAAAGAGGAAGTCAAATTGTCTCTGTTTGCAGATGACATGATTGTATATTTAGAAAACTCCGTCGTTTCAGCCCCAAATCTCCTTAAGCTGATATGCAACTTCAGCAAAGTCTCAGGAACAAAATCAACTTGCAAAAATCACAAGCATTCCTATACACCAATAACAGTGAGCCGAGTCTTAAAGACTAAGTAGGAATTAACAGGGCAAAAAAGGAAAAGGGGCATTCCGGGTAGAGGGGAAAACAACCAAAAGCTCAGAGGTGAGAAATTGTACAATCCCTGTAAGAATGTGTGAGTGTTCAATGGGGCTCAAGTTTGGCTTGCATGTTGAGGGCTGGCTGCTGACTAATAGCATCAGGCTTCTTTCCTCACTGCTGCCTGTGAGCACATTTGAGGCATTCACTTTTGATATAGAGCCTCACTTTGGATGATCCTTTCAACAAAATCTAACTGCATCCTAATTTTTAATATTTATTCCATGTCTCTGTGTTTTTTTTCTTTCTTTCTTCCCTACAGGCTGGTGGATATTGGGTTTGGGGAGGGTGAGGACTGATGAATTGAGTTCCCATTTGATTCACAGACTATACGGCACACATAAAACACACCCTTATTAGGGAATCTTAATGAGGGATACAGGCTTTCAACCTCTAGTGATAAGGTTGCCAAGCCTTTCCGGAGTTTGGGCCTGGGAATCTGAATTCTTAACAGGCTCCCCAAAGTAAACTCAGCACAGTCAGATTGGACAGCACTTCCCTAGTGCCCAGTGCTGATCTGAGAAGGTACATTTAGGGCGTACTAGCTAACACTTATCTAGTAGTAACAAATGCCAAGAATCATTCAAAGTGCTTTTTGAAAATTAACTCAACCCTCATAAGAACCCTAAAAGGCAAGCTTGTAACTATGTCCATTTTAGAGATAAGGAAACTGGTGCACAGAGTTCAAATGACTTGTCTGAATTGCACAGCTAGTCAGTGGCAGAACTGGAATCAAAGCTACTCTGATTTCATACCCTAGATTGCTTTCCTAAATTTTCAAGGCCATTAGCCAAGCTGATACGAAATACCTGCTATGCTCCAGGCACAGTCTATATTGCAGCAGATACATAGAAGTATTAGGTCGGTGCAAAAGTAATTGGGGTTTTTGCTACTACTTTTAATGGCAAAAACCACAATCACTTTTGCACCGACCCAATACAACAGAGCCAGTGGTGTGCTGGTAAACACGTTATATCTGGTTCTCTGGGTGGGGGGAGGGGTGGAGACATGATATGTAATGTTTGTCAGTTTCTATGGTTCAGATGTCACTGACCATGGAATTGGGAAGAAATGTGCACAGTGGGCTCTGATAAGCTGTTATGAGCTGGCTCCAGATCACCACATGATACATCCCCTGCTCACTTGTGACTTGCTGCCTGGTGTCAGCTATCACCACAAATGCCATCATGAAGGTACCAGCCAGTGGCTAGGGAAGAACAGAGAAGGAAAATCTATTTTCTCAAACAGCAGGAATGTCAAGCGGCTTTGGAGAGCTAAAGTCGTGCTCTTGGTTGGGATAGTGGGAGGACCAAGGAAACTGCATTTCAGCACTTGAACAGCACAGCACAGAGCCGGGGGCCACCCATTGGAGGAGATCAAGAGTAGGAGCTCAAAGGCCTTCCTACCCCCAAATATCCTTCTTGATAATCTCCTTACAAATTTATTTACTTGTTTAGAGACACAGTCTCACTCTGTCACCCATGCTGGGATGCGGTGGCATGATCTGGGCTCACTACAACCTCCGCCTCCCAGGTTCAAGCAATTCTCCTGCCTCAGCCTCCCAAGTAGCTGGGACTATAGGTACCTGCCACCACACATGGCTAATTTTTGTAATTTTAGTAGAGATGAGGTTTCACCATGTTTCCCAGGCTTGTCTCGAACTCCTGAGCTCAAGTGATCCTCCCACCTCAGCCTCCCAAAGTGCTGGGATTACAGGGATGAGCCCAATTTATTTCAACTCAACTTGTTTTCCCCTTCTTTCTCTCCCAACCACATGTCAAATACAGGTCTGCAAATTTTCTAGGGAGAATTTCCTGCCACACCCTATAGACCAGCTGCCCTTCATATGTGCAAACATTCTCCGCAGGGCTAACGCAGAGGACCCATGAGGCAGCCTTATAGCACATAACAGCTATGGGGGGCCTGGGGACTCAGATGACAGACAAGATGCATGGTGATTTTTTTGTGATATTTTAGTTACCAGCAATGTTTCTATGGGGTCAATCTGTCCAGTCTCCGGGGTGCAGCAGTGGATGAATACTTCAGGCAGCCAATAGTAGTAAGTGTGCTCTCTTTTCAGGCTTTCTCCCATGTTTATATATTGATTCATTCACTCATTCACTCATTCACTGGTGTGCACTGCGCTGCCAGGTTCTGTGCTAAGCCATCACAGAATAGGAGAAAGAGTTCCCTAGAGCACTATGTGTTCAAGTCTTCCAGCTCTAATCTCCTCCATTAATTAAGAAAATCATCAGAGAATGATACTATTGAAAGCAAGAAAATTTTTAAACTACCTTTCAGTAAGTAACTTGTAGTTCCCCACTGCCCTGACCCACCCCATACGCAACTCAGCCCTTACATTTGTTCAATAATTCACATCCTTCCTTTCATTCTAGTGGCCCAAAACATAGTAGAAGAGCAAGCATTATATAACAGCTTAGAGCAGGAGCTTTGCCGTTAATCAGATTTAAATTTCAGCCATGGCCCCGTTTTGCTGTGTAACCTTGGAAAACTTTAAGTTTGCATCATCTGAAATTCTTTCAGTTGTAAGTAGAAGAAAAATCAAATTGGCTTAAGCTAAAATTGAATGACTGTCCTTCAAAAATTACAAAGCCTAGAGACAGAGTTTGCTTCTGGGACGTGTTGCAGGATCTCCAAAAATGTCACCAGGATGTGATTTTTCTATCCTTATCAATTATCTCTACTTCCTCTGATTTAACAGTTTTCCTAGACAGGCTTTCCCTTCGTGGTAACAAGATGGCTACAGAAACTCCAGCCTCTGATTTTTACGACTCTAAATTCCACAGGAGAGCCTGCCTTTTCCTAATAACTTAAGCCAAAAGCTCCAGATTTAGTTTAGGTAGTTTAGTTAGTTATCCTACCTTGGATTATGTGCTCATCTATGAACCAATCACTGTCTTCAGGGGAAAAGTAGTGCTCTGACTTGCTGATCTGGGGTCATATGCCACATCTTTTACCGAGGGTATACTAAGTTCACATGGAACTTTTTGGACAGAATGTGGAGAAGAGATAAACCCGCACTGCTAAATAAATTCTGGATAGTCAGAAACACACACACACACACACACACACACACACACACCCCAAATGCCTGCTCCAGAGATTTTTAAAGAGTAAAGAATTTGTAAAGAGTACATCCTAGTAAAGCCCTTAGCACTTAGTAAAGCACGAAAAGCACTCAGTGCTTAACATAGTAGGTACTCATTTTTTATTGTTTTTATTGTTAACATTATTCTCATTAAGCTCATGCTTTCTAAATTCCAACTCCTGATGACTTAAAATTACAGAAGAAAAGCTAGACTGCAAATTTCCTTGAGCTCAGTTTATCTTGGCAGAAAGGTAACATCTTTGATTTTTTCCCCCAAGGACACATTCGATGTTAGGATTTTGATGGCTCAAATAGTCAAATACACAGTAAACTTTATGGATGCAGAAGAGGAAGATCTACACAGATTTGTGCAAATCAGTGTTGCTCTTGATGTTTAAAATCTTCTCTCTACATCTCCCACCCACAAAACTTCATTGCAGACTTTTGCTACTCACACAGGGGAGAGATTTTAGATATTGGTCACATATGGGAATGATGTGTCAGTATTAGTTTCATTTATTGCTAAATAAAGATAATGATGTTTCCTTCCTAGGATATTATCCCCATTTTATGGATGACACATAGGAGGCAAAGTGGAATGATAGGTTGCATAAAGTCACAGAATTAAAAATTGTATTAATTGGAACTAGGATTTGAACCTTTCAGAAGGCTCCAAAGTCTGGGCTTTTAGCCACTCTGCTTTGTGCCTCTAAAGTGACGGCATATATGTGAATGCACTTAGGCCAGTGAATGTATTAAGGACAAGCAAAGAGCTACAACTTGTTAGGTGCTTTCTCCATACTAGGTACCGTGCTAAGTGTTTTAGAGGCACCAGCTGATTTTTAAAGAGGGCACTCAATAAATATTCATTTCTGTCCTCTTCCCCTCCACTTGAAAAGACTCTGAAATGAGAGTTCCTACCTTGACTTGGCTCCATTTTTTTAGATGGTGGTGTGAATCCTTTTGGGGTGACCTTTCATTAATATTTTGTCTTTTTCTCCCTTAGAAAATTAATAGTCATATTTGTTTTCTGTACAAGAAAGTTAAGACTTAGCCAGGTGGTTGTTTACCTGGAACTACTGGGGAAGCAAGGGTGAGAATTTAGAAGGTGCATCTGGCTAATGAAAAAATCATCCATCTTGATATCATGATGCACAAAGGGTATCCTGGATGTTAGGATAGGCCAGAACATGCTGCAGTAACAAAAAGAAACCTCAGTGGCTTCTAATAACACAGGTGTCTTATTTTCTACACAATTATCCATCATGTGCTAGCTTTAGCTCTACCATGCATTACTCACACCAGTAATTGGGCCAGTGCAGCAGCTTCTATCTGAAATGATGCTGGTCACTCAGGAGAAAGAATGAGTGTGTTAAAGTATGAAAGGACAATGAAAGCTTCTGCCTGGAAATGGCACAAGTCACTTCTGTTCACATTTGATCAGTCGAAGCAAATCACAAGGCAGTACCTGAGCTCAAGTGGATGGAAAACTGCAATCCTACCATATGTTCAGAGCAAGAGAAATGGCATCTGCAAACGACTCTAATAACTACCAAAGATCCAGAAAAAATCGACTTTGATTAGCTTTATTTATTGCTCTGAACTACCTCCTGAATCCTAGGGAATATTTTAAAAATTATGTCTATGTGGGTTTTCCACCGATGTCATTCATTCATTTGTGCATTAATTCAACAAATGTTTATTGAGATCCTACTATGTGCCAGGTACTGTGGTGGTGCTAGCACATGTATGGAAAGTAATTTTTAAAGTCTCTATTCTTCAGGAGCTCATACTTTATCTAGGGAGATGCAAAACATGAAAAGAAATAGTAACAGTCAAGACCGATAAATTCAATGCCAAGTACAATGGAAAACTCTAGAAATATTTTATTTTCAGGCGAGTGAAGGAAGGTAAGTCTTTGGGGACACCATGAATACAGAGAACATACAACCTCCTTTGAAAACTTCTAAAGCACTTCAGAAAATCCAACTCCTTGAAGTGATACAGCCCCAGCAATGAGCCAATAATTATGAATTACTCTAAAGTTTGCAAAGAACTCTTATATACATGTTTTTTCACTTAACATGCAGAAGAATCTTATGAGGAAAGTAGGAGAGTGATTTTGTCACCCTTCAGCAAATGCAGGTACCAAGTTTCAGGGAATTTAAATGACCTTCCAAGGTTCCACAGCTAAAATAGGTCCAGCATCTAGATTGCATTGTATCTTTCCCAATACCCTTTCTATTCCTGCTTATTCTGCATTTGGCATAAACCATAGCCACTTCTGCATGACTGTTGTTGTAGCCTAGTGGAAGTTAAATTGCCTCCCACAAAAATAAATTAACTATGAGGATGACCTTCTGAGTTCGATGTTTCCTTTGTGCTCCACTCCATTTTTAGAGGCCTGAACAACCTTTCCCTTTGAGCAGCTGTGGAAGGGAACTGTCCCTGCCCATGCTTTGGCTTCTTGAAGGATGGCTGCCCTCTGTGTCCTGAGTCATCCTCCTCTTCTCTAGTCATACCTAGCTCCATGTAAATTTGTTTGAGTTCTTTGTAGGTTCTGGATATTAACCCTTTGTCAGATGAGTAGATTGCAAAAATTTTCTCCCATTCTGTAGGTTGCCTGTTCACTCTGATGGTAAGTTTCCTTGTTGCCTGTGCAGACAGCTCTTAGTTAATGAGATCCCCATTTGTCAATTTTTGGCTTTTGCGTGCGCGTGCTTTTGGTGTTTTTTAGAACATGAAAGTCCTTGCCCGCATGCACCTATGTCCTGAATGTGTACTAACCTAGGTTTTCCTCTAGGGTTTTTATGGTATAGCTCCCCCCCATCAAAAAGTGGGCAAAGGTATATGAAACAGACATTTCTCAAAAGAAAAGCATTCATTAGTCTCATACAGGCCAACAGAGCACATGAAAAAATGCGCATCATCAGTGGCCATCAGAGAAATGCAATCAAAACACAATGAATTACCAACTCCACACCAGTTAGAATGGCAGATCATTAAAAAGTCAGAAAACAACAAAGGTGGCTGGAGATGGATTGGAGAAATAGGCAACACTTTTTACACTGTTGGGTGGGATTGTAATCTAGTTCAAGCCATTATGGAAAACAGTATGGCGATTCCTCAAGGATCTAGAACTATGATGTACCATATGACTCCAGCCATCCCATTACGGGATAATGCCCAAAGGATTATAAATCATGCTGTCTATAAAAGACACCACTGCACACGTTATGTTTATTGCGGCACCTATGTTCACGAATACATGAGATTGAATCAACCCAAATGTCCATCAGTTGACAACTGGATTAGAAATGTGGCCACAGTATACACCATGGAATACTATGCAGCCATAAAGAAAAGGATGAGTTTTGTGTCCTTTGAGGGACGAATGGAATGCAGCGGAAACGAGCATCAATTGTTAGCAAATCTATCACAAGAACAGAAAAACCAAACCACCGCATAGTCTCCTCACTAAGGTGGGAACTGAACAATGAGTTCACTGGACTCGGGAAGGGGAACATCACACACCGGGGCCTATCATGGGGAGGGGGAGTGGGGAGGGATTGCATTGGGAGTTACCACCCTGATGTAAATGACGAGTTGATGGGTGCTGACGAGTTGATGGCTGCAGCACAGCAACATGGCACAAGTATACATATGTAACAAACCTGCATGTTATGCACATGTACCCTAGAACTTAAAGTATAATAATAATAAAAAGTAAAATAAAATAAAATAAAAAAACCCAGCTCCAGATGTTACATTCACCCTATGCAGTTCCAGGTCATTGCAGCAGAGTAGCGTAGTTCTTGAAGGGTTTTGTCAAGAAGTAAGCTTCTCAAATGTGCAGCACCACCCAAGCATTAATCACACACTGAGAGAACTTGGCTGCCAAGACAAAAGTGCCCAAGAGAGAAAGAAAATATTCCTACTGATCTCACAAATATATCTAGTACATCTGTCAACAACAACAAAATAATTCCAAGTCTTTTATCTTTTTTATTTCCTTACAGAGTAGAAATTCCCTTTGTGTTTCGGATAGCACAGTCTGGGCTCATCCATGGCCTGGCGTTCTGGTTTGATATGGCATTTGTTGGATCTCTGTGTGTATACCCCCCACCAACATTTTCTCAGTCTGCTCTACCCCATGCTATCTGCTATTTGTAATCACAATTTTAAAGTGTTTAATAATTGATTTCAATGACACTAATTCTTGTTTCTCCAATTTTCAAGGAAATAAACACAGATGTTAATGTTAATTTTAGATTTTAGGAAAAAGTGAAAATGAGATGCTTTTCCATGTGTCATATCAACTCTAACTAAACTATGCAAAGCCTCTTCAGCCAAATGGATTGAGCTTTGGAGGAGTGAGAGAGGGTTTGTGCTTTTTGCACCTCTTTGGTCTTTAATAGAATCGATGGGGTGGTACCCCAAGCCTTTGCTTTTGTTTCTGACACACCGGCTTATACAATCTCTTGTATCCTGATACCTTGAATTATACTTTTCCCGGTTTCGGTTTATACTCTGGAGTCCTTTGACGATCAGGCAGATGTGTATTACTAATGCTAGTTGCAACATTAGGAAACTTCACTATCTGTGCACCTTCCTATTGCACAGGTTTGAAAGTTGCAGGGAAAAGAGGGGAACGACTACCTACACGTTGGCTGTCACTGTTTGGTGTTCCTTGTGTGGGCTGTACCGGTCTGTGGCCCCCAAATCTGTATTCTCTTCCTGACTGCTGTACTCTCTTCCCAGGCTTTCTAGTATGTTCCAACTAGCAAAGAGATCTGGTCTGGGTCACATGCCCAGGTGGAGGAAAATGTTTACCGTGTGCTCTCCTTCATTCGTTGTGAGAATGCCCAGGCTTATCATTGTACCTGCTTAGAAAGAAATGCCCATGGGGCTGTAATACAGCTTGGGGGTCTGGGGGGAAGACTCAAGAGAGGTGACCCCTGGAAACCTTGTCAGAGCTGACAATCTGAGAAGAAGAAAATGAGGCACAAATAACCTTGACTCCATATGAACATGTTTGTTCAAAGAATACATACATTTTCTCCTCTCTGTAATAACCCATGTAAGTGAATTTGGTCCTGTAAGGGTGAGAGAGACAAGTGTGAAGTGGCCTACCTCAAGGGGGAAGTGTCTTTGAAATTAAATGCTTTGTCTTTTTAAAAATATATATAGAGAGAAAATTTGTGAGCCAGCTTGGGCAACATAGCGAGACCCTATCTCACAAAAGGTTTTTTTAAAAATTAGTTGGGCATGGTGGTGAATGCCCGTAGTCCCAGCTACTTGGGAGGCTGAGGTGGGAGGATCACTTGAGCTCTGGGCAACAGAAAAACAGGCCTTGAAACAGGGCAGAAACCCTGTTTCAAAAAAATAAAAAAACCAGAAGAAGAAGGGGAAGGAAGATTTGCATTCTATTCTATATTACATCTGAGTATATTTTGATATAAAAGTCATTTATATTACTTAGGTAGGTAAATTACATATAATTTTTCCCCAAATCTTCTAGTCAAAATTAACCCTGTAGGAATTTGCCCCATGCTTAATGTGCCCCTTGCTCCCCTTCAGCCAGCAACCACTGCCCAACCCCTGGACAGGTGACCTTGGTGTAGAAGCACAGCAAGACTTTCTCACTTTTTCATATGAAATGAGGAAACTCCATTTAACACTCAGGCAGACACACACAGGATGTCTGAGCTGGAAGCATGGTAGACGCCATATGCTCTGGTAGTTTTTCTTGCCTCCAGAAGCCCCTTCAAGACCCCTGAACAGGTTGGCAGGAGTCAGTAAGAGGCCAGACTCCAGACATCTCCCTTTGCTGCACTATCCAAGCAAATCAGCTTCTGATTTAACCTTGTTACTTATTGGGCCTCTAATGAGCTTTGATTCAGAAATACAGGTTGCCATGGTGGCCAAGTCTATCAGTTTGAAGCATGGTTCCCCAGTTGTCCTATGTGATGTTGGGCAAATTGTTTAACCTCTCTGGGCATACTTCATAGGATGATTGTATAGATTTACTAAAATTATATACATAAACTCTTAATTCAGTACTCAGCATATGGTTCTTGCGCCATAATTTTTTTTTTTTTTTTGAGACCGAGTCTTTCTCTGTCACCCAGGTATGATCTCACTCACTGCAACCTCTGCCTCCCAAGTTCAAGCTATTCTCCTGCCTCAGCCTCCCAAGTAGCTGGGACTACAGGGGCCCGCCACCATGCCCGTCTAATTTTTGTGTTTTTAGTAGAGATGGGGTTTCACCATATTGGCCAGGCTGAACTCGATTTCCTGACCTTGTGATCCGCCTGCCTTGGCCTCCCAAAGTGCTGGGATTATACAGCCATGAGCCACCGCGCCCGGCCTGCTCCATAAATTGAGCTATCCTTCTCATCAAAGGGCTCTATGACTCAAAAGAACGAAAACCACTATCAACCTTAGTCTGCAGTCCAACCCATTAATGTGGGTCTGACATGTGATTGGCTTTTATCTCTTTTTCTTGCCCTATAGGGTAACGGTTTGGCTGTCAACAGCCCCAACTGAGCCTCTGACTCATTGGTACCAGGTGCAGTGCCTCCTGCAGACTCCTCTTGGCCAAGGAAGGGGAGACGCTGTCAGGGAAAATGCTGTTTGTAGCCAATAAACGGTAAGCAGGAAAGTACAGATATGTTTTCCCCTCTTTTTCCTGGGCATTGAGGTCTGGGAGCAGGAAGAAGCTGGCGGGCCCCTGAGACTCCAGCATGTACAAACGGACAGCAAGCTTTCCAGAGGCCTGCCTGAGCAATGTGTATGGTAAGGAAGAGGAGCTTCACATAACTCAAAGGCAGTGTTCTCCACCTGAACGTGGAGGAAGGAAGGAAATCCAGCAGCTCACAGGAGTATTTGCCAAGGCTTGAATGATCAAGTGTCTAAACCTTGTGTCAGCTTCCTGGACTGACTTACATCGGTCGGTCTGGCCACATACCCCCAAATTTAGTACAATGAAATTGATCTGTATACAGGGGAGAAAAGCATTCCAGAGGCAGCATATAGTGTCAGGAAGGACTCTGTGGAAATGGATTTCATGAGTTATCTGCAAGATTGACCTCGATTTATCTCTCATTTTTTCAATGTCCTATTTCACCTTGTTGGAATTCTGCTGTGTGAGTTAGAGGATGGAAGAGTAGAGGAGTGGTTCCAAGACCTTCAGGGTATCAAGGGTACTCAGAGGTCATCTTATTCAACTTTCTTTCCTCGCTACCTCTCACTCTTCCTTCTATTTTATCTTTTGCAGATGTAACAGTCAAATTTTTATTTCAAAACTATTAAGCAGAGAAAGGCCTGTGCTTGAATACTCCTGTGACAAAGAGCTCGCCACCTCACAAACTAACTCTTTCATTTTTGAAGTCTTTATTTCTTTAATTACAAAAATCTAACATACATATAACTCAAAACTACACAAGTGTATAGAGTCCTTCTCCAGTCCCACACCTCACCCCACACCTCTGATGTGACGGTTTTGATTTGTATACTTTCAGGTGATTTTTCCGTGATGTGCCAGTAAAGAACATCATGGTGGGGCTTGTTTGTACAAGTTACACTAGAAGTCTGCAACTTAATTTTTACTTAGTAATAAGTCCTGAATCTGCACAGATAGATTTTTTTTTTGTTCTTTTTAATACATGCTTAATAGTCCAGAGCATGGTTGTACTATGATGTTTTATTAAAAAAAAAATCTCTGATTGACTGATTCAGGTTGCTTTCAATTATTTTGGCATTGCAACAAATTCCGCATTAAACATCTTGGAACACACAGTGTGTACAGTGACATGAGTGTTTTCAAATGAGATGCCTAGAAATGGAAATGCTGAATCACAGTATGTATCTGTTATGCTCTGGTAGATACTACTTTTCTCAGTGGTTGCACCAGTTTCCCCTTGCACCAGCAATAAATAAGCATGTTCATTTCTCTACATCTTTTCCTAAACTTCATGTTATCCATCTCTGTGATTTGTGTCAGTCTGATAGACCCAAAAATATTTTTTTACAGTAGCATCTTGTTTGGTTTTTATTTAAGTTTTGGTAAGGTTAGGTTATGCTTCATATGGTCCTTGGCTATTAATGTCTCCCATTTTCAACAACTCCAATTATTAAAAAATTATCCTTGCTGTTGATTCTATATCTTACTTTCTATAAATTCCACTTATTGATCTTAGTTGTGTTTCTGAAATCGAACAAAGTAAGTTGGCTGTAACCTCTAAATGGCAATTGTTCAAGTATTTGGAGAGTTTTACCAAATGTCCTTCTAGCCTACCTGTCTTTAAGCTAACATCCTCAACTCCTCCCTCCTATAAGAGTGATTTTGAAATAGTTTGAAATTCTAAGTTCTCCCCCTCTGAAATACCCTGGTTATCAGTGTCCCCTTTTAAAACATTTCTTCAGAACTAATTACAGGATGACAGCATATGTGTTCTGATAAATGCTGGGATCAGAGCAATAGTAACTATTTCTGTTTTGAATCATAATAATATATTTTTAAGTTTGGGATCCATTTTACTTGAGTGTATAGTCAATTAAACACAAGAAGTGTATTTTTGCATGATTGACTTTCAAATCACATTTCTCCCTTTTCCTAGTATGCAGCTGGTCTTTTTCAACTTCGGTACAGGTTTTTGTATTTATTCCACTCATTCAATTATCTATCGTTTTTGGATCTTTACTAGAGCCAGTGGATTATTTCTTTTAAAGTTTTTAGCATATTAGTGATTCCCACCATTTTATCTTTTGCAGATTTAATAGGCAAATTTAGATTTTAAAAATATTAAGTAGAAAAAAGCCAAGGATGTAATCTTTCATCAAAGTTTGCATGTATTCAGCTTTCTTCACACCTTTTGGCTTTGGTCATGGAAGTAGCTCAAAATCCACTCACCTGTATTCATTCCCAGGCCACATTTCTCCATCTAGGTCAGAAAGAAATATAATATGACCTTTTTGGAATATGATATCTAAATAAACTTAATTTCTGACTTCACTCTCATAGCCCAGTCCAATAACTCTGCCAAAAAAAAAAGGAAATGAAACTAATTGGACATCGCTTTTATTGTAGTGAAACTGAGCTAGATCTCTAATTATCATGACTTTCTATCTCCTTAACCTCATTTGGGCCCCTCCTCTTCCCCCATCATGTAGCCTCAGTTATTATTTCTTGCATATCCTCTCAGAGTTTCGTTTTAGATATAAAATTACAAAACACTGTAAAGGTAAGAATCTACTTTCTTATTCAGTTCCTCCTCACTGCTTTTATACCTAAATAGTAATATTCTGTATCTGCTTTCTACGTCCTTTTTCATTTAGCAATACATCTCAAAGACATTTCCGTATCTGCACATTAAGATCCTTCTTGTTCTCTTCTGTCTGCATCATGATCTTCCTTCATGAAAGTTATTGCTTCCTTCATACAGGTGAAGACTTCATTATGTTTCAAAAATCGTGAGAAAATATTTGCTCACTTTTTTATATGTGTCATGGCATCATTTTACTGATACACGTTTTTCATGTGTTTGTAAATTTTACTACTTTTTTCTACTTTTTTTCCTGATCACCTTTCTCGTGCTTGTTGTTTTGATGTTATTGTTCATCAAATTATAGGACTTTTCTGGGCAGTTATTTACAGGAGGAAGTTTCTGTGGCAGAAGAAGATGTGACAGTTTTCATGCTATCGGTTTTTCTCAACTCAAACTTCTTCTTCTTCTAGGTTGCCACAGAATCCACTGCTTCCTGCAACAATGGCTCCTCTTGTATTCTTTAGGTAGTTCCACCATGCTCCAGTTCCAGGAGCATTTCTGTCCAAAGCTCTGCTCACCCCAGTTCCTGCACAAGATGTTACAAACAAGGAATATACCTTTTGCATTTCAGAAAAATGCTTCTTATTTTCAGGTGCTAAGATGTGCTGCCCCTGGGCTCTTTTGTCCCTCTTTGCACTTCTTTTGCACCTTTTCCCACATGACTAATAACCAATCTTGACTGCTTTTACAGCCCTTACACATATGTCGAAGACTGCAGATTATCTCCTTCTCCTAGTTTTACAGAAAATGAGGTTTGCCATCTGCAGAATATTTCGATTCTCCTTGTTTTTGGATAGCTTCCAGAAGGAAAAGTGGAAAATGCTGACTTATGCCATGTTCATCCTGAAAGTTACTACTTTCTTTCTAAATCTTTATCAACCATCTGTTTAATGACCAGTTCTGGGAAAAAAAAAAAAAAAAGGAAAGCACAAAGGAGCAATAGCCAACATCTGCCTGGAATTTTGGACTTTGTCTTTTCTGCTTTTTGCAAACCAGGATAACATGATTTTTCTTTCAGATATTTATATTTTTACAGTTTCTTAGTGTATAATTTTGTGAGTGAATTTAAATCATCTTATTCTTCTATTACTTTTCTTCTGACATACCTTGTGTTTCATCCTCATGGGTAATATTTTTTCTACCCTTCTTAAAAGGTAAGAAGGAGGCAAACCATCTACTTCACACTCCTGCCCATGGCTCCTACAGCCCTGTAGTACCTCTGTTAGAGCACCTATTTATTGCTGTAATTTTCTATATGTGAGCTGCCTGAGAAGAGAGATTGAGTCTTATTCTATGGTGTATCCCTCTTTACTTAATATATTTCAGACACCCAGAAATATTGTGGAATTACTGAGTGAAGGCGTCATCAGCTGATATCCGTCTCTCATTAAGAACTTAGTCTAGCACAATTGAAAGAAGCAGCTAAAATATGGCCATGTAATGCTTTGCAAAGGAAGAAAGAAGGGAGGAAGTTTTTAATCTTAGTAGGTTAGCACCCTTATGTAGTAAAGAGACCACAGTTTGGAGTCTGCTATGTGCTGGTTCTTTTCAGTCTCTTCTATATACTGGTTGGTACTGGAGTGATCTTGGTCAGGTTAATGAATCTAACATCCCAGTTTCCTCACCTCATCCATCACCTATAAAGTAGTATTTGTAATCCTTGTCTCATCAGACTTTTACAAATATTAAAAGAGATAAGATAGTATTTGTGATTAACACACAGTAAGCCCACAGTAAATCTTAATTCCAATTCCTCTTCCTTTATTCTCATCCTTATTCTTAGTATCTCTCTTCAGATATTTTGGGTTTGAAATCCTTGTTTTCCTTGGTATTTTCTAAAAGCCTCTGCACTTCGTGAATGTCAGTGTTTTCATTCTTTTTCAGTAAGGTGCTGTCCCTTTGTACTGCTTTGGATAGAATCTCCCCCTACCTTATTGTTAAATATTCTTTTAAACTCTGAACTCCTAGGAGAGTTCCCTATGCAACCTCACAGGTATGACAATAACTGCCCTTTTCTTCCCCATCAGGTCCATTTATGATTATACTATTAACATTTTATTTTTGACAGTCTCCCATCATTCTGGAGCTGTCATTCATTTTATTGCTCCAGCAATAAAATAGAACCTAGTGTTTTCATTAACTTTATGAAATTTATATCCTGAAAGTTGTAGAAATGGTCTTTAAAGTTTTTTGATCATCTGCACCTATGAATAAAAACACTTTATGTATGTCTTCCCCAAGTATACCAATATTTATCTTTTGTTGTTGTTGTTGTTGTTGTTGAGACGGAGTCTCCCTCAGTCACCCAGGCTGGAGTGTAGTGGTGTGATCTCGGCTCACTGCAAGCTCCGCCTCCTGGGTTCACGCCATTCGCCTGCCTCAGCCTCCCAAGTAAGTGGGACTACAGGTGCCCACTACCATGCCTGGCTACTTTTTAAATATTTTTTTAGTAGAGACGGGGTTTCACCATGTTAGCCAGGATGGTTTTGATCTCCTGACCTCGTGATCCGCCCACCTTGGCCTCCCAAAGTGCTGGGATTACAGGTGTGAGCCACCGTGCCCAGCCCAATACTCTTTTAATTATGTGCATGTACTACAGTAATAATAATAGAAAGCCCAGAACTAAATAGTTTCTCTCTAACTACACACATACACATACACACACACACACACACGTGTATACAGATATGCTATATATACCTATCCACATATATATATACACACATACATAGACAGATCTATGTGTACATATGCATATATAGAAACTCATATATTATATATTTTGTAAGACATACAAAAATAGAAATCAAAGGATGCATTGAAAAATAAATATAGGCTGATTTTTGGATCTAGCTCAGCCACTTGTAGAGAAATATTTTGAAACATTATTTAAAATTTTTGGATCCCTGTGGAGGCCTGCTGTACCCAGATTTGCCAAGGGATTTGGTTTGGAGAGTTTGATGAGCTTTATAGTTTATAAACCTAGAAGAAATGCTGATCAAAGAATTAAAGCATAGGAAGCGTCACTGCAATCATTGCTATTTCTAATGGTCATTGTTAAACTGTTTTACCTTGGACATCACATAAAATAAAACCTCTCCATAGTTATATATGTGGTCATCTGCATCAGAAGGAATTATGGAAGAAACTATTGTGCATTACTCGGCACAGTGAAGTAATAGAATGTGCTAGTGCAGCTTTAGATGACATTTTTTTGTTCTACAATGTTACTCATATTCTTCTAGCTCTGACCCATGTGCCTATCACATGGCTGGTATTTAACTCACTAATGTTGCACCATATTAGTTAAAATATGATTAGAGTCTTATTGAATCTAACCATAATGATAATAGATTCTTTCAGCTATTATATTTTCTTCTATTTTTTTCTCTGTGTACTTACAGATGTAAATGTTTAACAAAATGATGCCTAAGTATTGCTTCATATATTCCTTCTTTTATTTGACATAAGCAAGTATCTATCCTATGTCATAATTATTGAAAATGTAGTTTTCAATGGCATTATATGAATATATAGCACTATTTAATAATTTCCCATTGTTGAATATTCATATTTTTATAATGTATTATTACTTATAATGATAAACACTGAATTTTTGACAGAAATACTGTAAAGTGTCAGCAGGGTCACATTTCCTTTGAAAGCTGAAAGGAAGAAGCTGCCCTTTGCTTTTCAGCTTCTTATGGTGCCTTGCAGTCCCTGGAATTCCTTGGAGCTGCATGGCTCCAGTCTCTGCTTCTGTCTTCACATGGCTGTCTTTCCTGCATGTATCTCTGTGTCCTCTCTTCTTCTTATGTGGACAGCCATGGAATTTAGAATCTCTTCAAATTCAGTATGGCCTCTTGTGAACTTGGTTACAGGTGCAAAACCCTATTTCCAAACAAGGTAACATTCATAGCTACTGGTAGTTAGACCTTGCGCATATGTTTTGGAAGGACACAATTCAGTCCATCATAACTACGAAAAAAATTTTTAATAGTTCAGCATTTTCTTCCACACTCCAATGTGTCATCCCACGTTCTCTCTGGGGGAAAACTCAACGCCTTTGAAGAACACTGGTCTAGAGTCCATGCCTGCAGAGGCTTTCATTTCTTTATGTATCAGTGACTCCTCGGTGACTTGGGTAATTTTTTCCCAGCTTCCTGCCATGTATTTCTCCATCCCATTATTTTTTGATGGTCAGAACTAAGCCTATCCCACTATTTCATCTTCTGTTTTCTGTAAGAGGAAATTATCATGAATTACCATACTCTCTGGAAAGACATGTTCTGCATATGTTGTTCCCAAGTTTCCAATTTATTCTTGGATATTGCAAAAGAAATGCTGGTATACAAAGCGATGGTTTTGTATTCAATCCTTGAACTAAGATATGTTCCCACTTAACCCACCTGCTCTGTCTCTATACAGTTTAAAATAACTAAGTGTGGCAAGGAACTAGGGTTTTAAAAATGCACATTTTCAAATAACTGGTTCAAAAGAACTAATAGTTATTAAAAGTTCTGTAGACACAGTTTTAGATTATTCATTATTGGTTGCTTTGGAAACATTCCATAAACATTACACTTTAATTGTTGAGTTTGGGGTTGACCTTCTGGGTATCTTGGCATTAGCATGACACTGCTATTAAAGTGTATTATTTTCCTGAAATTTTAAATAAGACACATTCTCCTTGGTCAGGTGAATCACTATAAAATCAGTGAACCTGACTATTCTTTCACTGCACCCCCAATCTTCCCCGCCACACACTAAAGGGCTTTAACCACAAATCTCAGCTTTTCACTGCCCAGACTGACCCCAAACTGCTCCTTCTTTTTCCTTCCATCAGAGAAGATAGGATTTTGATAGTGTGCAAAGAGGAGTGGGTTGTAAAAAGTGAATGTGAAGTAGCTACATTATCGTCATCCTATTCTGAAAAAAAAGCCTTGCCGAAGACCCCATAACAAAAATCTATTGATTGTTCATCCCAACCACAACAAGAACCATACAGTTCCTGTGACTAACCTGGTTCATATGTGCGTCCATAAATACACACATCCACTCATACGTCAGAGTACTCAATTCCTACTTGGAGTTCTACTTTAATTACTTCAGACATTGTTAAGATGTCTTTCATTTGGCAAAAAGGGTAGGTATGTCTCTCCCTGACTTATTTACCAGGCTGATATCTCAGTCTTTCTATGATTCCAGCAAGGTTTGAACCTCTTCTAAGGAGCTCATTGTCACAATATCTAGTTCCCCTTGAATCTACCTTCAGGTATCAAAAATGTAGTGAAGTATTGGATGTAGTTATCATAGAAGAAAAATTTTAAAACAATGTTCTGAGCCAATTAGCTGAGTTAAAAAAGGATCAAAGGATATAGTCTTGATTTTTTAAACATGTTGTAGCTATGTTTTTCTTCTAGTTTGCCTGGTCCCAATAAAATCAAGAACTTGAGTTACTGGTTTTACAGGATATGACATTATATTTAAGGCTATTCAGGCTTCTACTGGCAATGACAATGTGGAAGTGCGAATAGAGGGCTTTATATCACTCATTAATTTCTGAAATTTAAAAAAGATGCTTAATAAAGGAAATTAAAAATCCACAATATTTTAACTCCAAATATTTAAATATTAAGGATTTGGAAGGTGTGATAACATTAGCACTTTCACATTGGGCATGGTGACTCACACCTGTAGTCCCAATGTCTTGGGGAACCTAGGCAAGAAGATTGCTTGAGGCCAGGAGTTCAAAACCAGCCTGGGCAACATGGGTAGCTATTGGGCAGGTGAGGCGGGAAGATCATGTGATCCCAGGAGTTTGAGACTGCAGTGAGCTGTAATCATGCCACTGCACTCCAGCCTCCGCAAGAGTGACAGCTGTCTCTTAAAAAAAATGGCACTTATATGCTTTGTAGGTGAGGAAGTAATTTGGTACCCTTTCTGGAAGATATTTTAGCAATTAGTTTTGGGAATTATAAATACATTAATATGCTTTAGCCTTGTGAGTCAACCTCTAATTTATTCCAGTAAATAATTGTAGGTAGGACATAAAGATATATTGCAAGAATGTCCTTTACGACATTTCTGCAAAGAATTCAGTGTTTGTTATTATAAGTAATAATATATTATAAAAATATAAATATTCAGCAATGGGAAATTATTAAATAGAGCTATAAATTCATATAATTCATATGAATTATGTAATTCATATAATTGAAAAATACATTTTCAAGAATTATATAGGATAAACGCTTATGTCAAATAAAAGAAGAAATATATAAAGCAGTACTTAAGCATCATTTTATTAAACATTTACATCTATAAGTATACAGAGAGAAAAATAGAAGGAAAATATACTAGCTGAAAGAATCTATTATTACAGATTATTTTCCTTATATTTTCTCTATTTTTCAATTTTTCTACAGTGAATATGTAACATTTTTATAATCAGCAGAAATATATGTATTATTAAGAATGACTAATAAAATCCTACAAACATAACTCCTTCAGATTAGTCACCAAGAATGTTATTTATTCACAACAGCCAATTCCTCTCACTGTAATTGCATGAGCCTTCATCTGAGGCCTCTTAAAATCAATCACATCTGTTTGCTGTTAGGCTGTTTTACATCAGTTTGAAATTTTAGCTCACCCAGTCCTTCCATGATTGAGATTGTTTTGGAACTTCAATGATGACATATAAAGCATCTCTGTTACTTGAAGCCATTTTCTGTCATTGATGTTGATAAAGCTTCTCTACTCCACCCCTTCCCAAAAATGTGCTTTGATCAACCAGAAGTACCATTACCTTTGTAATTTTTAGATCAAGAAATTATAGCTATCAAATTCTTCTAATGAATAAACAAGACTTTGAATTGCCTCTACAAATGTTAATGGCTTCCAAATAAATGCACATGTACGTATATAAGATGCCAAACACCTACTCTCAAAACCCTTATGAAGTAGGCATATATGAAAGATGCCTTACATGTACATGAGTAGCTAACCAGTCTTGTGAGATGTGGTTTTCTCTGTAATGCAGACAGAGCTATGACATTCAGATCGTGGCGCTGGTGAACCAAACAGGCTTCAGATCTGAGAACATCCTTGACTTAAAGAATCCTTTCTTTAGGTAAGAAATCTTCCCATGCATTTTACACCTATGTTTATAAAATCTTAATCACTCCATGACCAGGTATAGAGGAACAGAATAACTCTATCTTTCCTAAGAGGAAAAGAAAGTATATACTAGTTCTCTTCCTCTCTGAGGAGACTTGGCGCCTGTATGGAGTTGAATGTTTTATGATCCCTTAAACAGAATTCAATACATAACAATCTGATACTGAAACAAAGTCACTAGAGAGTCCTACAAAGTGAGCTATAATGTCCTCCAGTTCCAAGTGAGCTTAGTCCTCCAGCTGAGCTATAATGAGCTGTGTGACCTCAGGCAAAGCAAGTTTCTCTCCCTGGCATTTGGTTTTCTCATCTGTAAAATGTGGGATTCAAAGATAGTCTGACTTTCATTCACTTTATGTAGCAGTTATTTCAATACACCTAAAACATGAATTCGTTTAAGTTACATTTTTTTTGAGACTCATTGGATGTGTAGCTCACATAAGTCAGGACACTCCTCTCTTTAAAAGCTATGCAGATTTCATCTGATACAAGGAACTTGCCACAGTGAGATGAATACAACAAATGTTTCCAGAAAAAAAAAAACTCCCCATCCTTAGACACCTGTTCAAATATGAGCCAATTAAAAATCCACACATGAAATCAACCACACAAATAAAACCACTGGACACTGTTACTCTTGATTTCCTTATTAAAAAGAGACTTTTTCCTCATAATGTCTCCCAAAGGCTATTAGTCAAAGAATCATATCTCTGTAGTATTGAAAAACTTGAAGCAAAGAGGAAACTCAGGAAACCAAACCAATAATTCTTTAGCAGAGATAAGAAAATGAGAGATTTTGACCTTGAAGCAGGAAAGGAAAAAAAAAAAAGGGCAAAGCTACAATGTAATATATTGTATACCAGTTGTCACATACAGTGTGAATCTTTGAAACTCATTGCCCATTAGAGATACAGATCATGTCTTTAATTCTGAGGGAAGGGAGGTGGCCTTGCTTTCATCCGTCCTTAACACAATCATGCCATGTAAAGCAAAGGGCACAGGTTTGGGCCTCAGAGAGAACAAGCTGACTACTCACTAACATGCAGACCAATTTGAGGCAAATTATGTAACCTATGTAGGCCTCAGTGTTTTTATCTGTATAATGAGATAAAAAGCATATACCTCACTAGGATTGCAAGAATTTACATAACATGCCCAAGTACCTAACAGTTCACAGAATTAGTGCTCAATAAATGCTAATTTTTTTTCTTCCTCCTTTTTCTTCCTGTTCTCTGCTTTCCAACTCTCTCAATATGGTAAATAGATGATGATTTGTAGTTTATTCCAAACAGAATCATTTGGGATTTGAAAAAGAATGTGACTACTTAGAAGGTTTTAGAAAGCTCGCCTTTTGAATACAAGAACCATGTAAACTATTAACTCTTGAGTCCCACCTCTGCTTTATCTTACAAGAACAAGGCTTTTACCAAAAAACCACCCAGAGAGATCCTGGCCAGGGCCAACACCTCCCTTGCGTGAAGGCACAAACAGTGACCATAAGGTCATAGTGAGAGATTGTAAGGTCTGAGGATAATTCAAGATGGCCACAGCTCAATCAAAACAGACTGGCTGTTGAATGAAGGGCACATGACTTTCCTTTTCCCTTGCCTCTTACTCAGCAGCTGACAGACAGAAGCAGAGGAGGGTACTTAATTCCCTGAGAATTCCAGATCTTGACTATATTTCTTCACCATCCCTTTCCTGATGTCTAGACCTCAGCATCCTCAGTGGAGATGGGGACTAAATGACAGAATATTAGAAAAGTGCTTAGCATACAATAGGTGCTCAGTTAAGTGTTCAACAATGGTAATGCCCTTCTCCAGACCACTCCCACTGCCAGTTCAATGCCAGTTTGCTGTTACAGCATCTGAGAGGAAGCATGTGTGTGTGTTGGGCAGAACTAAAATAAATGGTGTTACCCAGAGAAATTGTTGGTAATTTAGCACCAAAATAACTTTTTCTCCATTTGTTTTTTGTTCTACCATTTTTAAGGCACTGTAAACACTACCGACATGCAAGAGCATACCATCTGGGCATCATTTACATACTAGAAACATCTCAAGATCAGCAAATTTATTACTAAAGGCACAAACGTCCACCATTGCATATAATGTGAAAGTTTCTATTTTTCCTTGGTGGGGTGGAAACCTTTATTTTGAAAATTAATTATTTTAAAGTAATTTGAAAATAAAAGAATAGCTAATAGTTGTTCCTAAAACTGAGCAAGAGGACAAAAACACTTCATCAGAGAGGACAAGCTCTCAGGTAACCTGGCAGATTTTACAAGAGCTTTGAGACTAGCGCTTCATCATTCAGGCTCTGCACAAGACCTGACTGGGCCATTCACTATGTCAGGCAGCAGCAATGCAGCAGATTGGGACAGATTCAATCTCTGCCTCCAGGAGACTCATATCGTAGTGGGAGGGAAGTAGGTATCAAATAGCTTGATGCATAATTAATTATCATAATTGCAATAAGTGATATGAAGGAGAAGGAAAGGGTGCTAAGGGAGCATTTATTGGGAGACCTAGAGCAGAGTTTCAGAGTTAATCTGTAAAACAACCACCCCCAGTGACCCAAATCCAGAAACAGCTGGTGGTCCTTTAGAATACAAGAGGAAACCTGTGGTACATTGTTACAGAGTGAACCATTTGAAGGGAAGGTGGGGCTCAAAGTTTCCTATTGAAACTTGAAAACTTCATCAAGCATGGCCTCTTCTGCAAAGCTTTTCCCAAGGCTGAGTTAGATGCCTCTCCCACATCACTCAAAGACCCCTGCATAAACATCACTTTTATGGCATCTGGATGCGGTTGGTCTCAGTTATTGTTTAACTTGTCTGGGACCCCTAATACTTTGAGACAAGACCTTGTCACTGCCCTTTGTAACACAGTGTTACACAAAGCTGCTGGATAAATGTCTGATGAATGAGTGAATGAATGTGGCCCCAAAGAGCTCCTCATGGGTCCCCAAAGAAATAAGCTTATGATCACAATATCATGGCCAAAAGAGCATTTAGTCTTCCAGGCTAGCACCACAGCAAACCTCTATTACTACATTAATAGCTCTCACAAAATAATTTGATCCTTCCTTTTCCAAAATATTAAGTTCCCTTAATTTCCTCAACTTAATTATTTCTTAACTTCTCTTCTTTCTTTCAACTAATTTATTAAACAATTATGGTGTGTCAGGTACTGTTCTTGGTGCTGAAGTAGAACAGAGAATGAGATAGGAACAAACTCCCTGGTCCCGTGGTTCTAGAGAGTCTCATGGTTTGATGTCTCCCAACAGAAATTTTTTTTAAAGTAGGCTGGGCAAGGTGGCTGATGCCTGTAATCCTAGCATTTGGGGATGCCAAGGTGGGAGAATCGCTTGATTTCAGGAGTTTGAGACCAGCCTGGGCAACATGGCAAGACCCCATCTCTACCAAAACAAAAAACAAACAAACAAACAAACAAAACCCAGCCAGGCATGGTGGTGCACACTTGTAGTCCTAGCTACTCAGGAGACTGAGGTAGGAAAATCACTTAAGCCTAGGAGATTAAGGCTGCAGTGAGCCCTGATCATACCACTGCACTCCAGCCTGGGTGGCAGAACAAGTCCCTATCTCAAAAAGGAATTTAAAAAGCTAAGCACATGGGATAATTTCAGATGGTGATAAGTTTTCTGAAAAGGATGAAGGGTAATATCTACCTGATTTCATTACTTACTATAAAACTACAGTAATTGAGGCTGTGCAGTACTCATGAAAGGGTAGATGTGTAGGTCAATAGGATGGATTAGATCAAAAACAGACCCTAACATATATGGTCAGTTGGTTTTTGGGAGTTGCAAATAATTCAACGGAGAAGAGTTAGTCTTTCAAAAATGCTGGAATCATTGGATATCAGTATGTGATTTTAAAAAATAAACTTTAATCTATATTTCATAGCATCTACAAAAATTAAAATAAATCATAGGTTAAAATATAAAACCTAAAAGCATAAAATTTCTAGGAAAAAAACCAAAATCTTTGTGGCCTCAAGTTAGACAAAAATTTCTTACATATGATCACAAAAACTCAGTGAAAAATGATAATACTTCAAAATTAAGAACTCATAACCTTGGAAAGACACACTAAGAAAATGAAAAGACAAGTCACACACTGGGTGCAACTATTTGGAAATAACAAACCTGAAAAAAAATCTAGAATATTAAAAGAACTTGTGATATAATTCTGCCTGAAGGCCCAGTAATAAGAAAACTCAATTTAAAAAGTAATGATAAAGGCAAAAGATTTGAACAACTACTTTACCAGAAAAAAAAAGTTCTGTATAATAGCAAATAAGCACATGAAAAGATGTTTGGCATCATTAGTCATTAGAGAAATGTAAATTAAAACCATGATGAGATACCACTACACAACTATTAGGTGGCTAAAATATAAGAATCCGACAATGCTAAGTGCTGACAAATATGTAGAACTACTGGAATTCTCATTTATTGCTGGTGGGAATACAATATGGCACTATCACTTAGGAAAACCATTTCATAGCTTCTGATGTAATTAAGCATTCACTTACCATGTGACCTGGCAATCTCACTCCTTGATATTTACCTTAGTGAAATGAAAACTTGCATTAACAGTGAAAACTATATTTGAATGTTTATTGCAGCTTTATTTGTAATCACGAAACCTGGAAACAACTGAAATGTCTCTTAAATAGAGAATAAACAAACAAACTGTAGTTCATTCATACAATGGAATAATACTGATAATAATAAAGAATGGAATACTGATAGGTGTAACAATATCACTACCTTATACTCAGTGAAAGAAGCCAGATTCAAAAGGCTACATACTATTAGATTCTATTTATATGCCACTGTGGAAAAAGCAACATTATAGATAAGAAAACAGATCAGAGCTACATGGCAAAACCCCATCTCTACAAAAAATATAAAAATTAGCCGGGCATGGTGG